CCCCCCCCAGACCATGGGTCTGGAAGGATGAATAGATATAGCTATAACAGAAAATAATTTTTAAAAGACGGGAGGAAGGAGGTAAGTGAGGCAGGGAAATCCCGTCCCCTCACGCCCCACTCCACGAGAACAAGAAACCGATTATATTAGCTCAAAGGGGCCTCTACTGTAGAAACGTACCTGGAAAGGATTATTGACGTAAGTGTCCCACGAGGAAAGACAGAAAATGAATAATTCCTCAGACCAGATTTGATTATTTGCAATAATCCTTTCCCTAAAACCTATCTCCTTCAGAAATTGTTTGAAGGGAAGGTACCAGGAAAATACAAACGAGGTAAGACATGACATGAGCCTCCGAAAATCTACATACACACTAAAAACTCCACAGAGATGTCACTTCATTAGAAATGAGCCATCAGGAGTCATTTCCTGGTCTGGAAGAGAAATGACCCACGAGACAGGAGAAAAGAAAACAGGCAGATTCTCAGTCTTCTGATGCCTTAAATTAGACCCATTTTAGCAAAGGGAAATCTTACCACAACTTCTACCTTCTTTTCCCATTCCTACTCTAAAAACATTCGTGATTAAGGAGTGTCAGAGATATAGTGAAAACCATCTTACTGACTTTGGTCAATTAGGTTACAACCTAAGAAACACACTTCACAGTTTCCTAAAGGCATTTAATAAGCTCATAAATAAGCAAGATCGAGTTAAATACCAACTGCCAGCGAAGATTACTCCTCCTGCGTGATTTGTCCCCATAGGAAAGGGTAACGTTTTTTAATGATCTGCATGTGGGTGAAGGATGAACAATGAACGATCTTAGGGGTACAGGGTGCACAGGAGCACCCCGGGCAGGCAGGTACATTACAGGTATTTCATTCAATCACACACTTAGGGGGCATCACTTAACAAGTGTACTAATTCCAACTTTGTTCACTCTCTCTGCCTGCATCAACCTCAAGAAAACACAGCTGTCCCTAGGGGCCTTGGTCTTTGGGTAACTAGGGTCTATTTTATTTGGCCAAGAAAATGGGTTACAATTGTACATTATGACTCTCAACTGTACCCTCCAGACCCACGCTACTCCACAGAACTTCCCGCAGTGATGAAAATGCTCTCTATCTGCACTGTCCAAACAGGGGAGCCAGTAGCCACAGCAGCTACGGAGCACTTGAAGTGCAGTCAGTGCGACTGAGGAACTGAATTGTATTTCATTTTAATTCATTTTCATTGAAATAGTCATAGTCACATGTGGCTAACAGCTCTCTTACTGGAAAGAGCAGCTGTAGGGTCTGTCCCCGCTGCCCTCTGCCCCAGGGACAGAGGGAGAGAACTGGGCTCAGGCTCTGAATTCAGTCCTGGGAAATGGTCCTGCTTCTGTCTCATAACCCAAGTCACTGTCCTAAGCCCCTCCAGCCCGCCAAGGTCAACACTCCAAAAGGCGGTTCCTCTCCTCGCTCTCTCCCCCTACCAGGTACTTGTAGTCCATCTGCTCATTGGCTTTGGCACCTTAACCAGTAGCTGGACCCTATTTTAGGTTCCTATTCATTCTATCTGCCCTTTTCTTTCCAAAACTTTCCAATGGTTTTATTTTTTCCTCCCCCGCCTCCCTTCCTCACTTCCAATTCTATTCATTTCCTGTCCATCATAACATCAACATCCGCTAAACTACGTTTACATAAAAACCCCTTTTATGACACTAGGGCCAAGTGCCAGCACACATTAACTAGCTGCCCAAGGGATGGATTCTACAAGGCAAAAAGTGGTCATGCAACAGCCTGAGGATCTCAGAGGGAAGGGGTGGAGGAAGAGAGTAACCTATATGCATATATGCATAACACAGGCTAGAGTGTGGGGAAGGCCTGGGGAGGGGCGGGGAGAGGGG